TTTGAGAGAGATAAGAGATGATCATTGTGCTACTTTAACAAAGATTGAGTTTTTTTTTTTTGTATTTTATCAAGTTTAATATATTAAAATATTTTATATGAAACCGTCAATTCAAAAAGGTTTTTTATTTTTTATTTTGTGAAACTGTTTTTAGAATTATCTAACTAAACAAGTTTTTCTTCTCAGAAAACATTAAAACAACTTTTCTCAAAAATTATTTTTGAGATGCAAACCAAACAGACTCCTAATTTTTCCTAAACAAAATCCAAACTCGTGTTGGCCTTCCGGTCATGGGGTCAATCTCACTACTAAATGCATGTGAGCAAGGGAACCTGATGCAGCTGGGGTTTAAGCGAAAGTTGGGGATGTTTGTTTCTTGATATATATATCTATATATATACATATATTTTTTTTTTTTTTGGGGGGGGGGTTGTTGTGAAGGGTTAAAAGGAGGAGGAGTGGTGCTTGGGGGAAGGTGTGGAAATCATGAGCCTTTGGATAGCCTGAAAAACAAAGAGGGCCAGGAAGGTTGTGCTTCCATTGGATATCTGGGTGGTGGTGCGTTTGACTGGCTAATTATCAGTGAACTCACCGCACGCCTCACTAACTGTATTCTTTTTAGAGCCCCTAAATGTGGATGGGTGTTTTCAGCATATTCGTGCTACAGAGAATCTAAGCACATCATATAAACTGGTTGGCCAGTCATGCCCTGAAATACAAGCTTTCTCGGGCTGTTTTCCATTGTCTTCTGTGGCATTTGGTCTCTATACAAAAATCTTAAAAGGGAAAGTGGAAAACACAAATAAGAGTTTCTTCTGCAATATATGGACATTAATGTAATATAGCTTAAGTAAAAGCATAAATCGTGCATTTGGCTTGTTATGTGGGTTGATGTATACCTCTTGAGTTGAAAAAAAGGTTCTACTATGTCTTTATCGTGTGGGGTAACTAAGAAACTTTGAACGCGAAATTTAAGAGTGAATGAAATATGGATGTTAAGGTGGATGTATATACAAGAAGAAAGGATTGGATTATGAATAGTATATTTGTGAAGTAGTAGATACTGTCAGTAGTTGATAAATTGAGAGAGAGTGGACTAAAATGGCTTGTATTTGTTCAAAGAAGAACTATGAATGCATTAATAAGGAATAGTGATGATGCCAGGAATGAGGTAGACCAAAATTTGGCAGTGACCGAGATAACAAAGAATAATATGATAGTTTTGCTTTAACAAAAAGAACATAGCCTTAGACCGAGTATTGTGATAGAACAAGATTTATGTAGCCACTCAAGTAGTTGAGTCGAGTTGACTGCAAACAAGGAGCCTCTTGGCACATGTCCGGTCATGAATTCACACTAGTACTGACCATATTGTAATGCTAAAGTTTTGCTTTGAATTCACCATTTCTATTTTAGATTGCAGATGTGTGGTCTTGTGGAGTAACCTTATATGTCATGCTGGTGGGTGCATATCCTTTTGAGGATCCTGATGACTCTAAGAACTTTCACAAGACAATACAAGTAATTTACTATTCCAAGTAATTCTCGCATATGCCATCTCATCCAAATTACTTTTGACTTAAGTAATTGCTTGTTTTCTGCAGCGAATTCTTAATGTACAGTATGCAATTCCAGATTTTGTTCATATATCGGCAGAGTGCCGCCATCTGATCTCCAGGATTTTTGTAGCTGATCCTGCAAAGGTTAGTTTTGTTTCTTGATACCAGAGCATGTTTGCAGATGTTTAAATTGTCTATAATGTGGGACATAAGTTTTGGTGCTTTTCTCGTATGTTTTCTTTTTTCGACCCTTTAGGGGCATGTGTGTTTGGGGGTGATGGTGGTTTGAAAGGAGTTCCTCTTTTGTTTGTCATTATTATAGAACTCTCCATCTTTTCTGTTTCTTCTTTAAAACTGAGACGATTGACATACACTTGTACATGGACCATTTATTTGTTTGTTATTTATTTATTTATTTATTTTTTTTTTGGGGGGGGGGGGTGCATGTTCATGAATTTGCTGCATTTCTGACTGGTTGCCTTGGATGGTTTTCAAAAATAACAGTAAAACTGCTTTGAGGGTAATGACATGCTTATAAATTTTGATGCAGTCATTTTGCTAGCTTCTGTTATCTCTTAAATGTTGGGGGAGTGTAAACCCATGAATTATTATTTTTTTGATTTAATTCAATTGATAACATTACAACAGAGAATAACCATGCCCGAGATCAGAAACCACGAGTGGTTTCTGAAGAACCTCCCAGCAGAACTGATGGATGAAAGCTCCACGAGCAACCAGTTTGAAGAGCCTGATCAGCCCATGCAGAGCATTGATGAAATTATGCAGATCATTGCTGAGGCTACCATTCCGGCTGTTGGAACTGCCAGTCTTAATCAGTATCTGACCGGTAGCCTTGACATTGATGATGAAATGGATGAGGACCTGGAGAGTGATCCGGATGTCGACTTAGATAGCAGTGGAGAGATAGTCTATGCCATATGACTCTGATATGTGTCTGGCCAAGGTTGATGAAGGTAAAATTAAGTCTCTGTTTTAGTGTCTTTGGGCGTGAAAGTTAGGGGAAAAGGCGTCTTCTTCGTGCTGAACAAGTCTATAACTTGGAAGCTGCCCACGTCTGGACAATCCATCCTTCCCACTCGTGTTTTCTTGTAACTTACCGTGTGCTCTGTAGAAATTTTTTTGGTCTTCTTGTATTGTTCTGTTTTGCCATTCTTAACTGGAGTGTCTGTACCCATTTGCAACCCTAAAACAGGTATGTAACACTGTATAATATGCTCTGTTCGTTCAAGGACTTGCATGCATAGCCACTTAAGTTGAAACTCTGCCTCACTCCTGATTTAACGAGGAATGCTGTAGTGAGTATTTGTGTACTACTTGTTTGGTCGTTCTTTCCTGACGAAATGTGTGTTATCATATGGCCGGACACTTTGATCTCTTAGAATGAGTCCCACTTATCAAGGCTTGAAGTTTTTCTATGGCGAGGTTGGCAGTTGGCAGTTGGCATAATGGCCATCGCCTTCCTCTGTGGCTTTATCGTCTCCCTTTCTTGTAATAGTGCCCGACTCTATGGCACTGTGAAATTGCAGATGAAGCTTGATTTGGCTCATTTATTTAGCAAGTCAATGTGGAGGAAAATTTTAATCCAGCTGAACACAAGTTGTGCCTGAATATCTCTGTCTTTTTATATAGAGTAAATTACATGGGTAATTCTTAAATTCTAAGAAGCATGGAGACAGACACGAAACACGAATACTGCACGATACGGACACGTTGATATGACATTTCTTAAAAAAATAGGATACGGACACATTGAGGGCATGTTATAAAAAAATTATATTTTATATATAACATTGTATAATTTATTGTAAATATAGTGATAATGATATATAATTCATAAAAAAATTAGTATTTTATGATAAGAAAACTTAATGTCCAGTCATATGTGTGAGTTTTTAGACTAAAATATCCTCATTATAGTCAATAATTATCAAATTTTTTTTTGTAGACAATGTATACCTAATGTATAATTTAAATAATTGTTCTCATTTTCTCAATTCCTATTTTTAAAATTTGTATACGTCTTTTGTTTTTATTATTATATTTAAAGTACAATTTTAATATGTCTAGTAATTATATGTTTTCAAGTTTTTATGTTTTATTAATTACATTTCAACAAAATGTCTATTATTTAGTAATAGATACATTCTAAAAAAGTATTGAATATGTTACCAAAGAAGTGTCTGACACGTGTCCGAAATTAAAAATTTATTATTTAATTATGGACACGGATAAAAGAGTATCGGACACGTGTCTGAAAGTGTCAGTGTTTGACACAGATGTGTCATGTTCTCAAGAGTGTTCGTGCTTCATAGTTTAAATTATGTTATTTGTGTTAATTAAGTCCTTAAATTAATTTGTGTCAATTTAGTCTATCAATTATGCGATTTGACTCAATGAATTTATTTCGTCTAAATTCGGTATTAACTTTAACAAAAAATCTCAAGTGCACATTCCATGCATGATTTTAAGTACCCAAATTTGTGAATCACGTGATGTACATATGAGCCTTTCCATTAAAACTAACTATGAATTTGAACGAATTAGAGAGAGAGAAATTAATGTACTATTATTATTGAATTAATGGTAAATCTTAGTATTGAATGAGTTTATAACTTAAAAGAATTATTTCTATGGGATCCCCTCACAAATTGATACCTATGAGCCATTATAATCTATCAAATATTATAGGTAATAAGTTAAAATTTTAATTTATATAAATATAAGGGTCAATGTTGATCTAATTTTTATATATTATAATTTAATCGTATAAAGTTCATCTCATTTTTTTCCATTCAGTCCTCGATCTTAGTCAACTCAATTAATACTTTCCACGCTAAACAACCTTGTTAATTTACTCCTACTTTTTTTTTTTTTTTTACATATCTCTAATTTTATCTCATTTCATTTTATTTTATTTTAAATTATATAATTAAAAAATTTATATTTAAAATTCACATATTACATAATTAATATTCATTTTTTCGTATTCCAAAGTGTCATCAAATACGATATTATTACTAATTATCCACAAAGGCAATTAGAGCAAGAAGGGAAATAAAAATTTAAAGTACCACCCGATGGAGTGGCCTAGAGGGCCCGATTCGAAGTCAAAACGGTTTGGGTTTTCGTACGGGCAAACTCGGTTCAACAGTCTTAACTGGGTTGGGTTTGGGTTTGAGCTACGAACCGAATAACCTTGGCACATGAAAGAGAAAGAGAAAGAGACAGAGAAAGAGAGATGGAGAGAGGGACTCGTCCGATCGTGTGGGTCATGAAGGACGACCGTTACAATCTCTCTCCAGTCTCTCCCTCTCTCTCGATAGGGTTTGTGGGACGCCGTCTACATATTCGTGCATAGCGATGTACGATTGCTATTGATTTTGCAGTATAACACAGGCACATGATGACATAACAAACGTTATGACAGATCTATACAATGTTGAAGCTGCAGAAAAGGTTGTGAATGAGGCACTGGTGTGTTCTTCTTCAACTAGTCCGTGGCTTCAATTTTGTACTCTTTTATCTTTTTGGCAACATATTTCTTTTTGTAGCTTCTACCGATATCAGAGGCAATGCCTATATATGAGCAACTTCTGTCCACATTCCCCACAGCGGTGAGCTCCTGATCATTCTTGCTTTTTTCAGGATTTCTTTCTTTTTCGAAACATATTTAGGAGGGAAATCTTGTTATTCACTGATTGCTTATAGACTTGATTAAAAGTTGCACCTGTTTCATCCTCTATTTGTATTTTATTTTTAATTCCCCCCTCCCCCCAAAAAAAAAAAAAAAATTCCGTTGGTTATGTTGCTTTTCAGCTTCAATTTGGCTATTGGAATCACTAGAATTTGGTGTCAAAGAGGGCCCTGTGGTCTAGCCAATCCGATGTTTTTTTAGTATGATATGAATTGTTGATGTACTTCAATTTGTATTTGAAATTCATAATTTAAGTGTAGAATGGCTGGATTCAAAATTGACCACTAATTTCAACCATACTAGAGTATGATCCACACTTTGACCACTGAGGTAATCCAGATGTATAGAGGTTATAATATGCTTTCTAAGATTAGTTTGGATGTCGAAGATTACATAATATGCTTTATGAGGCATTCAATGGGACTATCTTTGAGGGTCATGAATTGAGCTACTGAAACAATGTGCTGAGGTAGACGAGTGAGAGGAGTGGAAGCTCGACACATTCTTCATGTACCAGATTGTCAAGTGACCGAAAGAGAAAAAGAGCAAGAAATCCATTCTATTGTTGGATACCCTATGAGTCTCTTAATAGTGGAATGTTGTTTCTTGCCAATATTTGGCTTTTTTCTGGCTGTGGCATTATGTTCATGGGCACCAGAGTGGACACCTGCTTGGATATTTGTGAAAGAAGCCACCCTTATTTACATCAAAAGGTTGCTGAAAGACAAATGAACATCTTTTGGATGAATGAATTTTTTTGCTGGTCAAAGACGAAATTTGTGGTTAGAAAGAGCAATTACTACTGAGATGAGTAAAATCAAAAGAAGAAAAAATAAAGACTATATTTTTATGATGAAGTAGAACTTGAGTACATCCGTATTACTTTCTTTATTGCAGTAAAGCCACCATATCCCTGTTTGGCCTTTCAAGACCCAACACAGATTTAGACTTTAGCCTTTCAATGTGTGGAACATTACTTTCAGAAGTGATCAAACTCTACAATTTTGTGTCACAACAGTCTCTCCCTCAAACACATTCGCACGTCCAAAATAGTTTGACAAGGTTGTAATTTTTGCCTTCCAAGGTCAGTTTGACAATCGGTGTAGCTAGTTCTCCTTACAAAATTCACAAAGAGAGAGAGAGAGAGACAGAGAGAGAGATCTCCTTATTACTTTCTCAATTGGATTGGAGCCACTGCAGCCCTTGTTGGTCTTTCATGACACAACATAATTTTAGAATTTAGCCGGTCAAGGTATAGAACATTACTTCAATAGTGATTTCACTCTTTACAATTTTGTTTTGCAAAATATTCACCCTCTCTCTCTCTCTCTCTCTCTCTCACACACACACACACAAATTTGCATAGGGTAGTGATTTCTACCTCCCATGTTTGGTTTCCTTCTTATTACATGCGGTGTAGCACGTGCTCCTTGAGTTTGATGGGAAATAAAATTTGAATTTGAAGTTTTGTCAGACAAATATAGTAGACACATGCGCACACAAACACTGAGAGAGAGAGAGAGAGAGAGAGATGTATTTGCTTACAAGGGTGTCAAATTGTTAAAAAGTGCTTGAGGAAGGTGCTAATATTATCAGAACAAAGTGTCCTTTGTCAACTTATATGTCCCAGCAAAAAAGAAAATTACAGCTCTTCATGGTCAAATAAGTATTGTCATGTCAGAAGGCTCCTTTTCCTTTCATCATAAAAATAAGTTCTTGATTTTTTCTAAGCGTATGGTTATTTATTTGGTGAGAAATATAAGTTATGTTTCTAAAACTTTCCTGATTTTTCTAGGCCAAATACTGGAAGCAATATGTCGAGGCACACATGGCTGTAAACAATGATGATGCGACAAAACAAATATTTAGCTGGTGCCTATTAAACTGTCTGCAAATTCCTCTCTCTCTCTCTCTCTCTCTCTCTCTGTGGGTGAGCATCCTTGGTTTATGAATAGTATCATTTGCTTTACTATAGAAGGTGGCACAAACTTTTTTGAATGGGGGAACGCAGTGGTGGTGATACTGAGGCTTATTGATGTCCTTGGAAGTTTCTTTCTGATTAACTAGGTTATGTTCTGTTCGAGATGGATTTTTTGTGCACATGTTGTTGGCTTTGGAAGATGACGTGGGTTTAAATGTGAGATAGTAGTGTGTGCTTCAGCATGTGATTTCCATTGTTTAGGTCTTGGAGTGAACTGTTGGTGAAGAGTGGTTAGAAAGTTTTTTTTTATTTATTATGCACATCTCATACAACAAATTACGGATTTCTTTGTCTTTGCATGTGGTCTTTATGTGGATCCATAGATCAGCTAATGGTGAGCTCAAAATATTAAGAAGTTGATCTTATTAAAAATATGAATGAAATTATTAATTTACTAATATGATATTTGCTGTATATATTTACGAAATTTCGCACATCATTTTTTTTTTTTAATTTCTTTTAAAAAGACATTCTTTCAATTGAATATAACAGATTGCGCATTATATTTCTGATATAGTTTGAGAGTTTAAAAATGTTTTAGAAGTTCGTCTTCTTTCTGGAATTTGGTGTTGATTTATTCTTCTTGATTGTAGATCATAATTTGTTTTACTTAATTATTGCCCATCATAAGATCTTTTTCAAATTTCAAGTGACATTTTCTTGATCAATATCCATTGCTAATTTCAACATTTTCCATTGTATCCGTTTTATCCGAAAAGTCAATGAGAAGAAGGGAATTGAGGGGCAGGAAGAGACCAGAAAAGCTTTTGATATCATGCTCAGCTATGTTGGTTAGTTTTCTTTCTTAATCCTTTTTGTACAATTATTGTAGTGTGTGGTATTGATCTTCTTTTTTCCCTAAATTTTTTACTCCTAATCAGAATCTTAACTATTTGGTTATTCTTTTCTTCATAAGAGTTGAGTTATTGGTGCAAAAAGCTAAAAAATAATGGATGAAAACTTCATAGACTTGTACAGGTTCCTTGAATTGAAATCTTAGTTAAGCCTGATTAGAGGCACTAGTATCTCTTTTGAGTGCCTTGATATCATACGGTGTAAACTGGTTTTTTCTGTTTGTAGGCAATTAATCAATACTGATCAGTTATGTAGTGTCTCTAGAAACTAAATTTATTTGTAAATTTTAAAGACCTTTTTTAAAATGGAATCATTGAGAGTGGCCAGGGAAAATTGTCATGGAATCAAATAAATGCAACAGACAAGTGCTTTTTGGGGTGTGGTATGGTTGCTGAATGCATTTTTTATAGGATGTTGAATGCTTTTAAGTGTGATAGAAAATTTTATAAGGTGATTATGTCTGTTGGCTGTTAAGTTTTGAAAGGTTAGTAATGAATGAATGTTGTCAGTGTATGAGTTTAGATGGAGAGTGAGGATTTTGAGCTGGACGGGTAATAATGCTAGAAAACATAAATATGAATTGATTGAACGGGAAAGTGGTGACACCATTTCAGAAATGAGAGAGTGGTTTCATATAAAAAAAAAACTCTTTAGAAATTTAGCTCATAGCCAACAAAGGGGACGAATTGCCAAGTCCCAAACTTTTGTGTTTTGATTCGTCTTCAAAGCATCACAAGGAGTAAGAGTAGGAGAAAATGAGAATGCAGCTTGGGGCAGCATAAATGTGCTTTGATTTATTGGAAAAATTGCTCGAAATAAAAAAAAAATAGTTGAGTCTAGTTGTTGGGATTTTAGGGTTTTGATTAGTTGGAATTTTGTTGTTGGGGAGATCTCTCTATTAGGATATGAATCCTTTGATAGATAGTTTGATTATTGATATTGATTTCTAATTATAGTGTATTTGGTGCTTCCAATCTAAATATTATGTTTTTTGCTCAAACCCCCGAAACAGATTATGTTTTTCCCATATTTTTCTTCTGAACACATCTTCTTTGTTATTCAACTTTTTTTTTTGGACAGAAAACGAAAGACTTTTGTTGATACAAATTGAAAAATACATCAAAAAAGTTGGACAAGAAATCCAACCAAGAAACAACAATTACATAACAAGCCTATAAATCAAAGGTCTCCTTGCCGCTGCAAAAAATGGAATTCCATTGAAATCTTTAGACACCGAAGCCCAGAATGCGGCTAAGAAATGAATACAATTCTACAACCCATTCAAACACTCGAATCAATCTTCAAAAATTTATTTATTTCCTTCCAAATAATCCAACACGTATCACTAATAGCACAGATCTAAAGAGTCATACCTTTGTCAGCTTTGTGAAACCTTTCATATCTTCAATAAAGGAGGAAATGGATGATGGAAGAATCACCCAACTCAAGTCCACCAATTGAAATAACTTGGACCACAAAGCCAAAAAATAGGGCAATGCAAAAATAAGTGATCAATTCTTTCAAAATCACCTTTACATATGACACACCACTTATGGTAAAGTTGACTCTAAGGCATTTTTTCAGTGTTGGTGAATGGGGAGTCCAGGAAGTGGTTCAATAAGGCAAAGAGATCCTTTATCTCCGCTTATGTTCACATTGGTGGTTGATCTCCTGAGTAGGATGATTATTCAAGTAGAAGAAATAGGATTGATAGCGGGTTTGAGACTTGGTGCTGAAGATATAATTGTGTCGTATTTATAGTTTGCTGAAAGAAAGTTTCTTCAGAACATACTTTCATTGATAAATTTTTTTGAACAAGTCTTTGGTTTGAAAATTATTATGTCTAAGAGTTGTGTTATAGGCATCAATTTAGAGGAGGAGGGGGTTGTTAGAGATTTGGCATTAGAGGTGGGTTGTTCAGTTTATGAGTGGCATGTGGTCTACTTAGGGTTACCATTAGGGAGAAATCCGAGATCATTGTCTTTTTGAAACCAAATAGTTGAAAGGATGTGTAAAAGATTGGATAGCCAGAAAAGAGCATGTTTTTCACTTGGAGGAAGGATCACATTGATAAAAACATGTTTGTCTAGCATTCATTTGTACTATTTGTCACTCTTTAGGATCCCTGTAGCAGTAGCTAAGTTTAGAGATGATGATGTGAGATTTCCTTTGGTTTGGGATGGGGATGATAAATGAGATTATTTAGTGAGTTGGGAGACAATTTGTAAGCCTATAGACAAAGGGGGATTGAGACTTGGTAATTTGGTATCTAAAAACATTTCCCGGGTAGGAAAATGGTTATGGTGGTTCTCGTTAAAATCTGACTCCCTCTGGTATAAGATAATTAGGAGTAAGTATGATATTCAAAGGAATGGGTGGGATACTAAGTCTGGGCATAACGTATAAGATAATTAGGAATAAGTATGATCTTCAAAGGAATGGGTGGGATAGTAAGTATGAGCATAACGTTACCCAAATAAGTCCCTGGAAGTTCATTTCATATGTCTACCTTTCATTTCATATGTCTACCTTTCGTCTCTTCCTTTGACTCGATATAAAGTTGAAGGTAGATCAAATATTCTATTTTGGGTGGATATATAGATTGAGGATTCATTTTGTCATGATATCTTTCCCCGTCTTTGTTGTTTATCCTCACTCAATTACTCTTATTTCTTCTTTTCTTGTCATGGGGATGGGTTTTATGTTCTTGGAATTTTCATTTCTTTAGGCATCTTAATGACTGGGAAGCAATTAATTTGACTTTTTTTGCTTCATATTCTACGTGATTTTCAACATTATTCTTCTCATGATAGTAGAATCTAGACGGTGGATAAATCTCAAATCTTTTCTTGCAAATCTTTCTGTTCACAACTTGTTAGCCGCATAAACAATGAACCTTTTTCTTGGCCAAATTTATTTGGAAAGCCAAAGTTCCCTTAAAAATTAAATCTTGTTGACAAATTTATGTATAGATAGATGCTTCAATAACTAAATAAATCTCTCTCTCTCCACACTTCCTGGAGATCAAGTTTCATTTCTACAAGTCCAGCCAAAAAGATGAGCATGACTAACTTTAAGAGACCCGATATCACGAAGATACATATCATGTCAGTCGATAAAACAACTACCCGGGGTAGACATAGTGAAACATCCTCCTCCGTATTCATGTCCAATCTTTGCCCTGATGGACTTGGTCTTCCTCGATTTCCAATTCCGCCAATTCCATTCAAGTTCAATCATTCATCATTAAATTCTTTGGAGATCCTTTGACTTACAATCATCAATCACTATACTTTATTCAAGTAGGCAGCAAAATCAGCTCAGTGGTTTCACACCATGACAGAAATGTACAATAACCCTGCCCATTGCACCTTAGTACAACACATACAATCTCTAAAAACAAACTTCAACCGTTCATGCAAGGCTCTTCTTTCGAAAGAAATTTATGCAATATAAATAAACCTCCAAGGCACAGCATACATATCAGCCTCTATTGCAAATATGCAAAGGTATGCACATTCAACTTCCAAAGTAATATATAATACATAATACACATTTTTTTTCATCAGTTTGTATAAAGGTAGGAATTCATGCATGCAGAACTGTTGATATGAGTCCAAAGGAAATGATGTGTGTGTTATGGTGGCAAATCAACGGCCTATGCAACGCATACCCATCCTATACACAACAGAAAGCGCGCAGACTGACCGAGCCTTGTGGCGTGAAAATGCCCCAGTGCAGGTCTCAGAAACAGTCGGCTGATAACTGTATGCCCTTAGATGAAAGCAGCACCAGTGTATGACAGAGAGATGCGAGATGGTTGGTCATGTGTAACAGAATCAAACAAATAGTGAAGAAGAGGAGCGGTAAGTCTAATTATTGTATATCCTCGGACATGGCGAGTGTGGGGAACTTGCTTATTCTTCAGCAAAATTGTGAATTCTTCATTCTGCAAAATTTTGAAAAAAAAAATATCAATCCACCCATTGCCAAAGGAAACAAACAAGTATTCATAAAAATGCACACCACAATATTAGTGTGTCACAGTCACTGGGAACCAAGCTTCTAAGATGCCCATTGATTTCAGCGGACACAGGACATGAAATCTAGAGAATGAAATGCCACTGCTGCAGCGTGTCCATACAGGCAACAGCCTGTTATACATTATCAAAGCATCAAGAAGATCTCCTGCACTATGCCTTCAGGCAAACAATATTTGCCAGTGTACAAGTTATTGGATGATAGCTTCTTGAAATTACCCATTACAAAAACAGGTTCTGCCATTATGAGTCCGCCACGAGTCTCCCTCCCTCTCTTTGCCTCAAAAGGAAAAGGCAAAAAGTAAAAATTAAAATTCATGAACAGTGAGAGAGAGGGGCCACGCCACGGTGGACCCAACATTAAAAATAGGTATTTAATGGGTATCGTAGATAGAAGTATAAATTTTTTCAATATTTTAAATAATATTATATAAATTATTATAGAATTAAATAATTATTTATTGACACGAGCACGACTCATATTAAAAATGACACGATACGATTGACACTTCTAAATTCATCCCAACTTAGAAGTCGGGTTGTTGGGTCCACCACGGCAGTGTCTATGTTCGTGGTGTGAAAAGGATTACAATTTGATCATTTGTTGGGTAATTATTTTTTTCCACCGATCAGTTATGTGATTTGTAACAATAATGACACGGTTTTACACATATTAAAAATTTATTCTTCTTCTAACTCCTTCGTAAACAGTTCAAAATTTCGTTCCTTTTTAATAGACAACCACCTTAGTTAGATCAAATCTCCATAACCCATAGGTTGGGGCCCTAAGCACCCCAACCTCGTGCCTCTAACGAGGTTGGACCCCTAACCTCGTTGATGGGAGAAAAGATGATATGCTAACTAGTCTATGCCCTTGGTGGTATTCAAAAGTTTGGCAACTCTATGAAAAATGAAATTCATCGAGAAAAACTCTAAAGGTAATTCGAGTGGTAGTAAAGACGAACTATAAATTTAGATGTTTTGAGTTCGAATTTTAGCAACTTCTCGAAATTAGATTATGAGAGATTTGTCCTTCATGAATCCTCTAGTTTAGACGCAGATGATTTATCTTTGACCAAATTGAGAAAGGGACTAATAGAGGGGTGTATAAATTGATCCGAACATCTCTAACCACTAAAAAAAATCATCCAAAAGATTTATTAATTGGAGATTAACCCCTTTGGAAGATCATGCAAGAGTGTATATATATATATCTATACATTATCAACGGGGGAGGTACCTTGTAATGGAGTTTCGTCCTGTAACGCAAGAAATTAGGGAGCATTATTAGTAGGTGGTCCATATATAGAACGTGCCTCATGGAACGGAACCTTTCCTTGTCAGAGGCTCCACGTACGTTACATACTTGGTAGCCTTTCAATGTCATACTACGCCATAGCAAGCCAAACATGTTTTCATTTTATGAGAAGAGTTTTAAAAAAAATATGTTTTGATAATTTTTATGTCGTAAAATTTGATTATATGATTTCAAAAGTAGTTTTACGGAATATAAAATAGTAAAATTTGTTTAAACAGTAATCAATAAAACAATAAAAATAGAAATGCGGTGGTGGGAGTGTGGTGGTGGTGGTGTTTTCTAAATTTTAAAAATATTGTTTTAAAAAATATACAAAATAGTTCTATCTTGTTCTCTAAAAAATATAATCTATCCACTTTTGTTCTTAATTTTCAAAAAACAGTTAGTCAAACACTTTTTCTCCTAAAAACTGTTTCTAAAAATAAAATACTTACAAACCAAATAGGGCTAAGTTTCTCCTTTAATCAATGCGAAGGAGGTGAGGTTAGATTAGATGCCAAACTTAGATACCTGGACTTGAGATTAATCAAATGACCAAAATGGGTTTCTTGTAAGGAACTATACGTGGCAAGTCTTTCACAAGAGGATGCAAGAGTTCAAGACAAGAAAACAATTTTTTTATATGCGAGAATAAAACTGTATACATCTTATCCTAACATTACAATGACACAAGTCTAGTGTAATGTGCGACACTTATACAATATGATGCAAAACACAAGAGCAAACAAGGCCAAGGCACACAAATACATATATGTGTGTGTGTATATATATATATATATCATGTATGCATGTATATATGTATTTTGAGTTGTTGAAGTATTAGAATAAAGTTGTACCGGTGTACATTGCGTGGTTCAAAGTGGATAGTGTTTTTGCACAATTTTCAACTTCAATGTACAGGAGCAAGGGGGCACAGCTCGAATCCAGGCTGGAAATTTACAAAGATTGGGCTACTTGCATGGGGGTTAGACAGCAGAACTGCAGCTCAATGGATAATTGTTTTGTGTTACAAGATACAATACAATTCATAGTTCAAGATCACAACATCGACCAGAAAGTTAAATTTAATTACAGTGTCGAAAACGGTATCAGGTGATACCCACAAAAAGCTAGATAAAAAAAGTTAGAACATGACGAATGACTCAAGTCATATAAGGGTGTGATAGAATAGTATTACTCAATTCGATGACGAGAATTTGGACAACTCAAGATTAACTTGAAGACATGTCAGACAACTTGGCCAAGTTGCGGGTGGGTCGGGTTTTGCAGGAGACATGGAATGGTCATAACAGAAGGTGTCTTGAGCAAGATATGAATCATAGTAATAATATCGGCCAATATCTCGAACCATCAAACCAGATGTAATGGTTTGTAAGGTGAATCCACATGTCTGAGAGGGAGTTTTAGCCAACTTCCCAAGTTGCCATGGTATAGAATCCAATGGAGATACCAAACCATGGACAATTGTATGGGAATTTCGAGTAATGTTACTTGCACCGATTTTATTGATCTAATTTATTGGCTTAATTATTTATAATTTTTTGATTGACAGTGGACTCTGGTATTTATTGAGACCCACAATTGATTTAATAGTTATAATAGATTAGGTCAAAATATTGTACCAATAAATTACATTCAAATAATGGGCCTATTTAGTGTTGATTTTTTTATATGAAAATTTGCGGTTTGAAAAATTTCACAAAAAATATTAGAGTTAAAAAAATCTCTCAAAACTGTTTAAGGTGTACTTTTAAAAGGTGGAAAAGTCCGATTGAATTAACTCTCTAGCTTTTTTGGCTTTTTTGTGTCAAAATAAAAAATAATTACATGTATGTATAGATTATGTACAGTAGTTCTCAGAACATAAAATTTTAATTTTTTTTATGTCGCTACTAATATTATATAAATATAATAAACAAAAAAGTTACGTAGAATCCGCGACAAAACTTTAGTTTATAAAATCAGTTTCTTGAATCAATATAAATAATTTTTTTTGTGTCCAAAAAATTGCTACATAAACGGACAAAAAAGCTATCCAAACAGATTTGTCTTATTTTATTTAAAAATTCTAAAAAATTACCAATTTAAGTTAACACCAAAGATATATAATATAAAATAGGAGATGCTTCAATAAGTCTATGCTACACTTTTAAATAGATTCATCTAATAACTATTAATATCCCTCAAAATCATTTACATTATACCGTGATTTCATACGCGAGTTAACCATACTACTCAATATTTTTTTTTTATAAATTTCACTTTCATCTTTTCCCCACCCCTTAAAAGAGCCCCAAGTCACTCTCATTCCAAGCCAATCCCCACAAGCATCCAACACTTTTTTCTTTTTCCATATTTAATATATCTTCCACATCAAGCTGTAATGGTGTCTCTCTCTCTCCCTCCAGAAGTGTTCAGAAAGAGATCAGCAGAAGAACCTTGAAAACCCATTTTCACTCCAATCTAAAATACACTTTGGTTCATATTTATCCAAAGTGATAATATAGTAGCCAAAGCTGAACTTAAAACCCAATAAAATATTGAAGAAAAATATCAAGGAATCCAATCCAAGAGAGGTTTCCATTTTGGTGGGTCCATCCATTACCATTTGTCAACTTTTTAGAAGGATAAGACCCACTCCAAACAATGTCAAATCCTCATAGCTGGTGCAATCTTCACTCCAAGGGCAACAAGACACAATGGGGGTGGCCTGTTCTAAGTGACAATTCCACACTACACTCCATGAAAAGCCACCTTCTTTGAAACCCAATAATTCAACACCAAAAACCTTTCAGTACCCAGTTCAAATCATACCTCAACTCACAATAATCCCTTCAATGAAATGGATCTTGATGAGTGGGAACTCCTCCCTGATGATGGGTTTCTTGAAATCCATGATGATGATGGTAAGAAAATTTTCTCGAGAAAATATAGCACTGATACAAACAGTGCTTTCAAGATGAATTACTTTCTATGCCCATCTCCAAAATCTCAGCAAATCGTCGGTTCGCCGGGGAATTCAAAATTGCCAAATCAAGTTGTTCCGGTCCCAATTCAATTGGAACCACCCACAATTGGCAAGGACCCCCCAGTTCATGAACTGGTGAAAGAAATCAGTACAATCCCATTTGATATTGGTGATGGCGCGATGCCATCACCGATATCTGGGAAGATCAAAGCTCCTCCGATTATTGGAGCTGTAGAAGCCGATCAAGACCCGGTTTCGCAAGTTTTCTTCAAGAAAATGAAGGAAACTGAATTTGTCGACATGAAAATGGACTCACCAAAGTCCAGTAGTAGGGGAATTGTACCTCAAATGGATGCGGGTACTTTTCAATTTGAGGATAAGGGTGAGGGCTGCAAGGGAGAGGCCTTTGAGAATAAGAACTGTTCAGCAAAAAATAAGGGTGAGAAAGAGGTGTTGACCAAGAAGAACAACTTGGATTCAGAGATCAAAGAAGAGGTCACTTGGGAAGAAGGTAATGGAGGTTTGAACATATGGAAATGGAGTCTAAGTGGTATTGGTGCTATTTGTTCCTTCGGTGTTGCTGCTGCTACCATTTGCATTATCATTGTTGGAAGTCACCAGAGAAAACCAAAACCTCAACAGAATCAGAAGCTTCAGTTACAAATCTATAGCAATGACAAGGTTAGTAAATTTTCTTACAGTTCTGCCGACTTTTTTTAGTATGGTATCGCAAAAAAGAAAAAACACATAATAAGGTCTAGTTACAATTCAGTAACATTCAAAACGTGGGGTATCATGGATCGATCATAAAACTTTTAAATCAATCCAATTTTTCAATATCAAATTCATCTCTTTTGTCAACCATAATTATCTAAACCACACTAAGAAATTCTATCCTTGCTCTTGATCTATAGTACATGATATGCAACAAGCTATGAAATTATATAAAGCAGAATGACTTTCCCTTTTTCTGATCAATATAAGTGATTTTGCTCAACCATTCAAATCAGAAAAGTTGATTTTCTCCTACAGATTATGATCTAACATGGAACAGAAATGAATCAGGAACATGATCTTGTGTAAAGATTAGGCCAGTCAATCTTGTTAGACGAGGTAGGTTCGTGTCGAGTCTTAACGGGTTCGTGTCACAAAGCAATCTTTTCATACCCAATTCGTTTATTAATCGTGTCATGTCGAGCCCATTCGTTTACGAAACATGTGATTTAATAAAGATCCAAACCTTTTAATTTCGTGTCGTGTAAACGAATCATATCATATTTTGACACCCATAATATAGATTATGGGGATCAAGAGAGCTAAACTAATATTCATTGGGTGTTTTGCAGAGAATCAAGCAAGTGGTTCATCATGCAACTAAATTGAATGAAGCAATTTCAGCTGTGAGAGGAGATCAACTGACCAGAGCTCATATTACATTTGGTGGTTATTATAATGGTCTCTAGAGCAATGCCTTGGCATTTGATCTAGAAAATTATCAATATTTAAGAATCTTCGTTATAATATAAAGCGTTAATAGTATTTTGGTCCTTAAAGTATGCATGTTTTGTTAGTTTGATCCTTAAAGTATTAATTTTTTTTAATTTGATCCCTAATATATTCAATTCGTATTTAAATGATTCCTACATAGTTGAACCGTTAAGTTTTTCACGGAATGATCACCTATTAGATACGTGATACCATATGAAAGAATGACACTAGTCACTTTCATCAAAAAAAAAAACTTAACGATTTATTTGATTAGGGATTAAACCGACACGAATTGAAATTTTAGGGACCAAATTAACAAATTAATACAATGAGGACCAAACTGACAAAACATGCGTACTTTAAGAATTAAAAGTATTATTAACCCTAATATAAAGTAGTGTTATTTTGATCCAATTTACTAAACTCAATCTGCAGTTACCGTTGAATTAGAAACGGGTCCGATTTGAGTCCACTCTCCATCTAATAACAAATGTAGATTGGGTCAACGATTGTGTCGGTAACTGGGTGCATTTAGCATGGTGGTTATACAAAAGTACTAAGTCAGTTCCGCCAAATCTGTATAGGATCTTGGTATTTTGTACAGGATTCATGGATACTTACTGAATCCATGTAGAGATTATAAATCCTTGTTGCTGTATTACATAAGGTTATCAGAAGAAGGCAGTATGTGTGCTTATAGTGATTTGGTGTTATGTGTATGTATCCAAATGTATTACTTGTCATAGAGCACTATTACTATTGTCATGGGAGTTTATATAAGTGATTGTCTGCTAAACAAGCACTTGCTAGACAATTTGGTTCATTAACCTGGTTGTCTAGCAAGCGGAGTAAAGTTTTGTACATATAACTCTCTTCATATCTTGATGTGGCACAAGACTCGTGCATGAGACTGTTTCTTATAGTAATGCATAAATTATATAGTGACGAGTTGACATTTCTTTCATTATTGAAAAATAATTTGGATCGTTAATCTCTCTCTAGCTTTAACGATGTGATGTGGTACACTTAATCAGTTCTGTAACCATTTTGTTGTGTAATTTTCAAAAGATTATGTATTGTTGAAATGAAATGTAGGTCAATTTGTGATACTGGGATTCTTTCAAGTATTGGCCTTATTATGCTTGCTTCCATACCATCCAAACTCCTCTCCAACTCACATCCCAAAAAAAAAAAGGATGGTAAAAATTATGCTAAAAAAAAAAGATGTTAAAAATGAGATAAGAATGAGGAAGGACGATTGTTGCCTTTGGTTATTGAAAATTATAACTTTTTATTGAAAAGTACTCGTTCATTCATTATTACCATTCGCTCATGGAATAGTTCAAGTGATAACAAGAACGAGTTGTAAATTCAAACGTTCTGAGTTTAAATTTTGTAATCCATTGGGACTAGGCCATGAGAAATTTATCCCTTTTGAATACTTTAATTCCAGCGTGGATGACCTACTGTGGATCGGACCGAAAAAAAATTAATTAAGATGCGCGTAAACTGATCTGACCATTCTTGACTGTTATTTAAAAAAAAAAGTTATTACCATTCAAACAAAGAAACACCATTCTTGTCAACTTAAATAATAGGTTTTCACAATCAATTATGCATTTAATTTGGAGCAATCTCTTGAACTTTGAAAGTGTCCTTAAATCAACTTGAGCAAGATTTTTTTGTTATTTTTTATTTTTTAACTTTTTTTTTTATTTTTTTGGAAGGGGAGAGGGAAGAATGACTTAAACTCAAGAAGACAAAGCCTTCACAAAATAAGGAATACCATTGGACCAAAGACCCATCGGTAATTATTTTAATGCAATGGCTTCTATTCTGTCCTTTTCTATCCATCTTGTCAATGAGTAAAGAAAGGGAAAAGTCATAGCATGAAGCAATTAGTTAAATGCAAATTAAGCTATGTTTTCTTTAACTATGGTTCCAATCTCACTTCACCCTCCCCACAATTAATTTCTCTAATTGTCCCCTCAATCATTTAAATTAGATTTACACCATTCAAAACTCAAATGTTTGTTACGCTTTGAACCAAAAATATCCAAATGTTATTATGTTTGAAACAAAGTTAACAAAATCTATATTTAGGAGTAAATTGTGACAAAACTTCTATCTAATGTGTAAAGGACGAGAAAATAATCAATGCAATGGTGACACTATGTTAACATTGTTGACATGGTATCATCAATCAATAATAAAACCTCAAATGAATAAGATAAACTCCACTTGAATAGTTATTGATTTACATAGACAAGTAATTATTAGTTTGTGTGAAGTTTGTTTTCTTATTTGTTTACACATTATTGTTTAGTGATATCGCATGACAATACTAATGTATCACTCTTACAATGAATATTTTTTAGTAAGAGACATATGCAATTGTGGGGATGCAGTAGATCCCCTCCAAAACTTTTTCTTTTCAATTATTTTTCCGACAAATTATTTATCATTAATAAGTAAGGGACTCACTGAAATGTATAATTGGAAATTCGCCTAAAAAAAAAAGAAAATGCCCGGGAGTGAATCTCACTTCAAATTAGGGGTGATTGATTGTGAGAGAAATGACATATTTAAGGGTTGGAAGTGTTGTTGTCCATTTGTTACTATATAAATTTTGTGGATTAGGTTGCTAAAAAGTTGTTCTCACCCACAATTTCTTAATCACTGAGAGAGACTATAGGGGTATTATTGTTAATAGAGGCCCCTCTTGAATGAGTAATTATTAAATGTCACAGTGATACTATGACACTATTGATGACATAATATCACCAACCAATAATAAAATCTTAAACGAGAAAGGTGAACTATACTTAAGTTTACTTGACAGGAGGGTGAGAAGTTATTTGTTTATATAACAAGTTAGTTATTGATTTTTATATCTATTTGTTTGTTTTAGTATTATCAGTTGGTGATATCACATCACTTTGCCACGTGGTATCGTCGTTGTAATGAATATTTTCTCTGAACTAAAAAAATAAATAAATAAATAAAGACAATCTCCAAAGGTAATTGCCATTCATGATTTCTTTTTTTTTTTTTTCCAAACAATATATTCACTCTTAAAAAATAAATCCTCGAAATTTGCAATTACCCGGTAACTAAAAGTACCGAATAAATCAAGACACAAACAAAAATCAAAAGTAAATATTCGAATTTATGATTTACTCTTAACTCACTCATACCTAGCTATCCTTATGGATAGGAGTGTCAATCATGCATAGTCGTATCACTTTTGTTCGTGTTATTTTTGTGTTTTGTCACTTTTGGTATGTGTTAAATTTGTGTCAATAAAAAATTATTTAATTCTATAACAACTCATATAATATTATTTAAAATATTTATTTTTTATTTATAATACTCGTTAAATATTTATTTCTTATCTACAATACTCATTATTCGTGTCTAACTTTAACTTGACCTATTTATTATTTGTATCAACTAATCATTTTATTTTCAAATTTTGTGTCGGATCAAGTTCGTATCAATGAGTAAAATTAATACCCTACGCATGGATTAACATGCAATGACCCACTAACCAGAAGTATCAAATAAATCCAGACACAAACCCCCCACAGATATTTTATAAATCGTGAAAGGTAAAGAAGAGGACTGATTGAACAACCAAACCATCCAAACATAAATGATTTTTAGTGAGATGTGACTCACCATAAAAGGGTGTCCATTGCTTGGTTAGACCATACCACCACCAAACAGTGTCTCATTTTCAACATTGATGTGGTGGGGTTAACTGGAAATTGATGACTAGATAAACTTAATTGAAAGTAAGTGTGGGTACATTGTATCTGTGGAATATTCAGTTGCCACGTGAAGAACCTCAACGGCAGTAGTCAATACTTACAAAAGCAAGGGGACAAAAAGTAATGACTTACCTAAGTTTGGACTTTTAATTTCTACTACAATACATAATACGTTTGTAAATTAATACGTGTATACCATATTTACTATCAAATGAACAAAACCAAAAAGAAAGGACTAGAGTTCTTTAGTCAACCGTAATGTTAGTTTAGTTATGTTAGTTTCTAAGAGGAGTAACGGATACTTGCTAGGGTAATTTTAAAAGATAATTGCTAACTTTGACCAAATGTAAGTCCTAATTTTAAAGAGAATAAACAAATTATTTTCTATTCCTCAGAGAACTATTGAATAATGCTTAAAATATGATAGGTTTCGTTTATAGATCATGACATGATTGACTTGCATAAAGCTTCAAATATAATTACATTACATCAAATAAGTCAACAATTTCATCATATTATAGAAAAGCATGCCAATGCATATTGATACAATGCATCTTTATGCAACAGGGAGACTACTGTCTACGATGCAAGTACTCGTAAAATTATAGAATGCATAGCTAACATTATGAAGTACAATGCACAAGGGCCAACAACGGGTTAAACTCCCCTCCAATTTCAAAATAATTGAAGAATCCTCCAATTTCTTTATAAATTTTACTACCGCACCCACAATTTACCAAAATTTTACTTACCAAATTAATGTGCATTGCTTGATTAGTGGGTCCAGTTAACTCTTTTAAATGAGACCCACTAATCCAACAATCCACATTCATTCAACAAGTAAAATTTGGTAAACCATTTGGTACGCAAACAATATATGACATTAGCACAATCATACAAACTCATGGAAGTAAAGAGTGTCATTAAAGGAAAGCTAGTAACCATGAAGCTATGACAAAAATCAAGAACAGGCTGGGCCAGAAGCTTTGGTAAGAAGATGTATCTCAAGCTCAAGACCTACTCATTGGAAAATATATGCAAAGATCAAAAGGACTGAATAGAAACTCATTACATCATACCAACATTCTAGTATTAGTATTATTTTGACAACCATGCAGTTTCATTTTCATTTAAAAAAACATTTTTTGTTCAAAGCAGATTAGGAAATGAGCTAAAATTGAATAGTAAAACCAAACGATAGA